TGTCAGAGCCTGGTGTCCCATCTTGTCCAGAGGATCTACAGCTTATGGGTCTCTCTGTTTAGAGGTCTGTGCCATTTTGGAGCTAGGTCAGGCATGCTCTACTGATATTTAGCCACCCCTGTGCTACTTGTCAAGGGGCATCTGACCACTTTTGTGGTGAACAGTGGAGTTGCAGTCTTTAAAATGAACCATTGGGATGTTTTAAAAGCTTTTACCGCTCACCAATTTAGTGTTGGCATTGAGTGATTGCTCTCAATCCAACATTTACAGTGATATGTAACATGTGTGGTGAAATCATCTCGTTTTCGCACATAGGTTGTTTGCACATGTGTTTGCGTTTGTATCTGCATACATGTGGGGGCAGGGGACTTTACATTTTTTTGTGTTTCTTTTTTTTCATATGTGACTTTAATGTTTCACCTTTTTTTTTTTACACTATGTGACATCACAGATACAGTGACAGGTCTTCTTTATGAGGACATCCGAGGTCTATTAGACCCCTAATGTCACCTATGACCCCAAATAAGCTTATGGAACAGAACCACAGCAGCCAGAGAAATTACAGAATGAAAAAAAACGGTACCTGAGGCAGCAGTGATTTTGGTATAACCACTTCAGGACCACACAGTTTACAGGTGAAACTCAAATAATTAGAATATCGTGCAAAAGTTCATTTATTTCACTAATGCAACTTAAAAGGTGAAACTAATATATGAGATAAACTCATTACATGCAAAGCAAGATAGTTCAAGTCGTGATTTGTCATAATTGTTTTACCTGGGCAATAGAAAAACAGACCTGGTCTGTTGTTCAGTGGCCCAAAGTCCTCTTTTCTGATGAGAGCAAATTTTGCATCTCATTTGGAAACCAAGGATCCAGAATATGGAGGAAGAATGGAGAAGCACACACTGCAAGATGCGTGTAGTCCAGTGTGAAGTTTCCACAGTCTGTGTTGATTTGGGGAGCCATGTCATCTGCTGGTGTTGGTCCACTGTGCTTCATTAAGTCCAGGGTCAACGCAGCCGTCTACCAGGAGATTTTGGAGCACTTCATGCTTCCTTCCGCAGACGAGCTCTATGGGGATGCTGACTTCATTTTCCAGCAGGACTTGGCACCTGCCCACACTGCCAAAAGCACCAAAACCTGGTTCAATGACCGTGGGATTACTGTGCTTGATTGGCCAGCAAACTCGCCTGACCTGAACCCCATAGAGAATCTATGGGGCATTGCCAAGAGAAAGATGAGAGACATGAGACCGAACAATGCAGAAGAGCTGAAGGCCGCTATTGAAGCATCCTGGTCTTCCATAACACCTCAGCAGTGCCACAGGCTGATAGCTTCCATGCCACGCCACATTGAGGCAGTAATTGCTGCAAAAGGGGCCCAAACCAAGTACTGAGTACATATGCATGCTTATACTTTTCAGAGGTCCGATATTGTTCTATGTACAATCCTTGTTTTATTGATTGCATGTAATATTCAAATTTTCTGAGATTGTGGATTTGGGGTTTTCATGAGCTGTAAGCCATAATCATCACAATTATAACAAATCACGGCTTGAACTATCTTGCTTTGCATGTAATGAGTCTATCTCATATATTAGTTTCACCTTTTAAGTTGCATTAGTGAAATAAATGAACTTTTGCACGATATTCTAATTATTCGAGTTTCACCTGTATATACTTATTGTGGTCCTGAAGTTGTTAAGTAAGTACAGCTTCACCAAATTTACTATGCTAATTGGAAATTCCCTTGCAAAGTGAATTTGCACATGTGCACATGCCATAGCGACCCAGGCGGCTGCTATGGGGCCCGTGCACTGGGGGGCCCGGCCAGGCATCCCTATGATGCCATGTGGGCCGCCTGGGTCGCTATGGCGTCTCGGGTGCTGGCTGTCACTGACATAGCTCAGCAGCAGCTGTGAAGGAGAATGTTCCCCCTCACAGCCGCTGTGGAGCTGTGTCAGTGACAGCCAGCAGATGCAGCAGAATATGCCAGAATATGCCTAACAGCAACCCCGCCTCCTCTCACATCACTGGCCAGCGATCTAAGAGCAGGTGGGGCCAGTGATGTAAGAGGAGGCGGGGGCCCGTCGATAGAAGGAGGCGGAGCCCGGGGACGGAAGAGGAAGCAGGGGCCCGGCGGCGGCAACCACGCAGGTGGACAACGCTGACAGGTAAGAGGCCCAACTGAGACCTTGCATAGCCCACCATAGAGATTCTATGGTGGGCTCTGCAAGTGACATAACTAGCAATCACGGGGCCCCATCCAAGATTTTGCTATGGGGCCCTGTGATTTCTAGTTACGCCCCTGCCAGAGTGTCTCAAAATCAGTTTAGAGCAAAGTTAATCTCTGCAAACTATACAATAATATTGTAAAAGGAAGAGAAGATACTGATCAAAATAGCCTCAGCCCACAGAATTTGTAAGCACAAGTATTCATGGTTTCGGGATCAAGGAACAAATGCTTTTCAACTAGAATATGAAATTCAAGCAATTTTCATATATCACCCTCAAGATATACTCTTAAGAGAGGACAACAGCTTCAACCACTTACTAAAATACTTAAAATTACTTAGAGACGAGAGAGGGAGCGGGGCATTAAATATTTTGCGGTGCATTTGGCGCTACGAGAATCAGATGTTTATGAATTGAACTATGTGCAATTATTGGTGGAGATGCAGCATCGATTAAATAGTTGGGGCCCGAAAATTAGGGATGCACAGATACTTTTTGAGTACCAGTGCAGATACTTGGCATTTTCATGAGAACTACCAGGGTTGCAGCGGTTGCAGCTGGGACCTGGCTCTGGCACTCCATCACTGTCCTGAAATCATTAGTCTGTATTGTTTTAGAAAAACTGTCACATGACAATAAACAAAAATGTATCAGTACTCGTACTTGTAAGTACTCGGCAAGTACCAGTACTCGTACTCGCAAAACTGGTATCTGTGCATCCCTTTATTTGTATTTATAAAAACCAAATCGTACATTAAAACAGAGATGTACAAATCCCAGGAGCTCCGTGTGCTCCTTACAAATGACATCTGCCTCCTAATTTTTGAATTTTTCTCTAGTCTAGTCTTGGAGCTCAAAAGTATCGGTACATGTACTCGTACTTGGAATGAGTACTGTACTTGGTATCTGTGCAACCCTACCGAAAATGCATTCGTGGGTGGGAAGGATGGAGTTGATTAAAATGGATATCTTATATAGATTTTATTTATTTCAGACTATTCAGATTAAAATTCCAAGATCTTATTTGAGAACCTTGAGGGCAGCTATGATTAAATATGTGTGGGGATCAACTTCACTACCATTAAGACATGATATATTAGTAATGTATAGACAGGATGGGGGAGCAGGTCTTCCACATATGGAGCTGTATTATTGGGCAGCAGTTTTAACTTGTATTATAGACTGGTTTGCATCATCAGACAGATAACATTAACCCTAAGAGCAGTGACTTCACCTTTTATTTTTATACCAAACAGCCTATATACCACAATACACATTTTTTTTTATAACAGAAACACTTATCAGTTAAGTGGTAGATGGTAGAATTTGGAGCATTAACTATTTGGATCATGCACCTATTAGGGTTGCCACCTGTCCAGGATTGACCCGGACAGTCCGAGTTTTGAATGCTGTGTCCGGGTTTCATGGCAGAAGAAACCTAGACACAAAATGTTAGGCAGACAGGGGCAACAAAAATTACGTTACGGGTTACTGGCTTCCCCCCCCCCCCCCCCACTGAAAATAGTCTCAACTGTGATATTAACATATAAATAAGCCGCAACTCATTCTCCCAAAAAAATGTCTGTGCATCGCTAGTGTGTTCGGGTTTCGCTTGAAGAAAAGGTGGTAACCCTAGCACCTATTTTGCTCACCCGTAAACCTCTAAACTGCAAACTTAATAACTCATTATTACTTAAAACAACGCTGTCATCAGGCCATTCATGTCAGGAAAAATATTTCCATAAGATTATATGTACATTTATTGTATTTTGTGCATGTTATTTGCCTGTAAAAGCCTCCCTTATGTAGACATCCAACAGTCCTGAGACTTGCTGCTGGGTGCCACCATTTTGTATTGGATGTCAGCAGATATAAGAGAGTTCTATTCTATAGTATTGCCCTGCAGCTAAATAAAAGTAGCCACTGTTACAAGCTCGCTCCCGTGATCGACTATAACTTTAATACAAATTAATAAACTAAACATGAGATTATAGTCTATCATGGGAGCCAGCAGGGAGCGGTGGTTACTTTACAACACAAAGAGGGACCATGTGGAACAAAAGTAGCCACCATCCAGAAGGAAGGACAGTGTCAGCACAAATTCAGAGATGATTTGAGGATCTACAGCTGAATGATGCAATAAAAGCTAAATTTTTGTTAATAGACACTTTACTTTACTTTTATATTCCCACTGATAAACCTTTCAAATGTAATTCACAGAACATAAAATCAGGGTGAAAATGTTATTAACCTCTTCAGTGGATCTACCCCTGCACTGCAAGGGTTAACTGCTCATTTTTGCCTAGTGTCAAAAATAACAAAGTTATACTCACCCGAACCTCTGAGCTGGCCGACTGTGACAGTGCTTCAGCCTGTCTCCTCCGTAGCCATGGTATCTCCCTCGGCATCCTCACATCCTATACACAGTGTATAGAACGTGATGACTCTGAGACCTTAGACCACTGCAGCGGAGAGGGAGAGAGGCACCAGGGACTGCTCTAAGAGCAGGCCGGCTTGGAGGATAAGGTAAGTATAACTTTTTTTGACCCTAGGCTAAAACAAGCACAGTGCAGGGGTAGCCCCACTGCAAGGGTTAATAAAAATGAAACCCTGAGTTTTTCTTTAAGGTATGTTTATGTTCTGTGAAATCAACTTTATTTTTGTACATGTGTTTCTTAATACTGACTTCAACTTGGTAAATTGGTTCCGCATAATCACATCATTTGGAATTGTTCTGAAATATTAATAGTATTTTCTTTACAGGTTTTCACATATCGCATAAAGTGACTTCTGTAGTTCCAGAGAGCTGTCTTTTGATTGTACTTGGCCTGCTCCTTGGTGGAATAGTATGGGCTGCAGATCACATCGCTTCCTTTACACTAACGCCAACAGTATTCTTCTTTTACCTACTGCCACCTATTGTACTAGATGCTGGATACTTTATGCCAAACAGACTATTCTTTGGAAATCTTGGAACTATCCTTCTTTATGCTGTAATTGGAACAGTCTGGAATGCTGCTACAACTGGACTATCACTGTATGGTGTTTACCTAACAGGAATAATGGGTAAGCTACATTTTCTTTATTGTTTACTTGCTGTTAAATTTTTAATTGCATTTTGTGTTACTAGTAAAGCCACTTCAGCTAAAGATCAGTTAGGTCATAGGAGAAAAATTACAGTAATTTGGACATATGAAAAGTCTTCAATAAAACAAAGGGTTGCTGTAATGAGCGTTGAGAGTGTTGGCCAAAGGAATACAGCGAAGATAATTATGATCAGAAACTGAGGTCTTAGGAAATAACAATAAGCAGGGTCAGATTAACATAGGAGAGAGTGGAGGTCCAGCTCCAGGCCCGCCCCTGCAAATAGGCCCGGCCGAGCCAAGCCGGCCCGACCAGAATCGCGGCCGGGCCGACCTGACTGGCATAGCGGCCGAGCTGACCCAAGTTGCGGCCGTGCCGAGCAGACCCGAATCGCTGCCAGCCCGATGGTAATCCGGGCCAGCCGCAATGAGGCAGCCATGGCCCTCTATTCAGGCATTTCAGAGGACCCTCTGATATGCCTGAGCAGAGAGCCACATCTGCTGCGGCTGCAGTTTCCAGTCTCCTTGACCCCCCTGGAGCCTGCACTGCCCCCCCCAGAGCCCACACTGACCTCCCCTGTAGCCTGTACTAACCTCCCCCTGGAGCCCGCACTGACCCTCCCTGGTGCCTCCACTGCCCCCTGGAGCCCACATTGGAGCACGCACTGACCACCTGGAGCCCACACTGACCCCCTGGAGCCCCCACTGACGACCTGGAACCTGCACTGACCTCCTGGAACCCGCACTGACCTATTGGAGCCTGCACTGACCTGGAGCCCACACTAACCTCCTGGAGCCTGCACTGACCTTCTGGAGCCCGCACTGAACCCCCTGGAGCCCGCACTGACCTCTGGGAGCCCGCACTGCCTGCCTGAGAGCCCACAATAACCTCCTGGAGCCCACACTAACCTCCTGGAGCCCACACTGACCTCCTGAGCTTGCACTGACCACCTGAAGCCTGCACTGACCACCTGAAGCCTGCACTGACCGCCTGGAGCTTGCACTGACTTCCTGGAGCCTGCACTGACCCCCCTGGAGCCCTCACTGACCCCCCTGGAGCCCTCACTGACCCCCCTGAAGCCCGCACTGACCCCCTGGAGCCTGCACTGATCCCCTGGAGCCTGCACTGACCCCCTGGAGCCTGCACTGACCCCCTGGAGCC